TCAGGGAGGATGCTTGTTGGCTGAACTCATGTGAACAAACAGTAACAGGTAACCATATTAGGATTGGTGAAAACAGAGTGAGTTAGGTTCAGCTTGGATTTTATTCTAAGAATAATCAGGAGCCATTGAAGGTTTCTGAGGGAACTGATGATGTTTTAGAAAGGTTCCATTGGCAGGAACTTGCTGGATTGCAACAATTTTAGGAATATTTAGAGAATAAAAGAAACCATTGACAGAGACTCGAGATTGTTAGGTGGCTATAGGGCTGGTCCAAGCAAAAGTATTTAAGCTGATGTGAAAACAAAACAAAACAAAAAATGTGAGAGACAAACAGACATCCATGAGAGAAGTCACCAAAAATCTAGCAGACAGCCGAAGCCAGTTTGGCTCAGCGGTAGAGCGTCGGTCTGCAGACTGAAAGGTCCCAGGTTCGATTCCAGTCAAGGGCATGTACATTGGTTGCGGGCACATCCCCGGTAGGGGGTGTGCAAGAGGCAGCTGGTCGATATTTCTCTCTCATCGATGTTTCTGACTCTATCCCTCTCTCTGCCTCTCTGTAAAAAAAAAAAATCAATAAAATATATATATTTTTTTTAAAAAATCTAGCAGATATTTGTGCTCTGCTGGATGTGAAGGGTGAGGAATAAACAAACCCCCTATAACATTAAGTGTTTGTACTGAGCAGCACAACAACAATGTCACTAATAAATGAAAAGAAATGAAAAGATCTCCAGTGTGGGGCATGCAGGAGGCAGCTGATCATTGATTCCCTTTTCTGTCGTAATGGGATGTGCCATTTTGACTCAGAGGTGAGAGCAGATGATGAAGGACATGAAGGGAAGAGAAACCATGTTGGGCTTCAGTTCAGCTTACTGAACTTGAGGCAATGGAGGGACAGAGTTGGAGAAATGTCCACTTTAGATTAAAGAACATTCAGAGGGTTCAGGCATATTGTTGGAGGCTAAATGGAGTTCTTTCTTTGGTGCTCCTAGTTACCTTTCTTGAACTCATCCCAGTACCAAGGGCCTAGGACTCTCACCTTCCCCTTTCTTCTCCCTGCCCCATGCATCCCCATCTAGAAGATCTATTTGAGTGTCCTCCCTCACAGACTTCCTCCTAGATTAGCATGAAGTCACTGAGCTCCAGGCAATTAGAGTACCCTGCTGTCTGTCATCTCCCAGTGTCTCCTGGTCTGGCCTTGAATCCTGCGCCCTGGTCCCCACAATGAGATAAGACAGGAGCCATATCCCTACATCATGACTGAACAGTTCTCAAGACAGTACACCGTACTGACCAGCCAAGTTTGGCTCCCAACTGAGCCACATGTCCCTGCTCTGGAATGTCTCACACTAGTTAGCAGATCAGGGATCAAGCCTTGGCCCTCCCCCTGCTATCTAAACCTCCAAATTGACAGGAGAGATCAAATAAATGTTGTACATCAATTATGTCTGACTAAAGGTATCACATACACCAACCCAATAGATGCACTGGGGAAATGAAGTTCTGCAGGAATGCTTCTAGTTCTTTGTCAGGGCTGGGGGCAGATTCCCTGACACTGCTGCCATCAGTCTTATCAACAACAGCAGTTCCTGGAGAAATAAGATGTTGGGTGCAGAGAGGAGGGGATGATGGTGACAGTGGGGGGGGGGGGGGGGGTGTGAGTGAGTGTGTGTGTCCGTGTAAAGGTGCAAGCACTGAACTGGAAGGCTTTTCATGACAACTGAGGTGGATAAGGACCCACATGGGATCACAAGACTAGAGTCAGAACAGGAATACAAAAGAATGTGAAACACTCGGGCAAAAATGGGAAAACATAGTCACCAGGTGGAAAGAAACATCTAAGGTCAGGGAAGGTGGGATTCCACATGGAAACTTTAGCTACCAGCACTGCGAGTTCTGTACATTGCACCTTGTGTGTGCAATCTGGCCTCCCACTGAGCAGGCCCTGAACACTCACAGTTGAATGAATGGTGATGATGTGGCACCATCTGAAGGCTTGTCGTGCTCAGTTGAAGCCAAGAATTGCTCACATGGCTTATGGTTCTTATTGACATCACTGCTCTCCCCTTTTCAATCTAAATTTCCTTCTCCAAAGGTATTTACACTTTAAGTTACAATTGCTAGAAGAGGGCGATATTTAAACCAAGGAATAAAGTGCGTGATGAAAGCACTGGGAGAACAAATTTGGGGGCATTCAATCCTAAAAGTAAACTTGTGGTGTTCTGAAAAGGCTTCATCTCCCTGGATATACCACATATCCGTCACCAGGCTGCTCAAGGCACCCTGTCTCAGACTGTGGGAGAGCTGCATGTTCAGCATTACCTAATTTCCTCATCAATCTCCTGCCTTTTAATCAGCTAAGTGGCTATCTGCCGAATTTCCCTGATTTACTGACATCTTATGAGGGCTGAGGATGTGTCCAGATACTAAGTGATTAAATGTGGATGAAAACGGCACATCCCATAATAACGGAACGGGGAATCGTGACTTGGCATATATAAGACCTCACAGAGATGGATGTGGGCAGCTTCTTAAAAGGGCAGGCTCCAGAGCTGCAGAGAAAATGGCGCCATCAAGCAAGTTTTTACACGAAAATCTACCCAATTCCTCTCACGAAAGATGCACTCCCATTCGCGGGCTCAGCAGTCCCACAAGAACCACCGTTTCCGAGAAGCAGGGGTGTACTGCTAGCCACGCTGAGAGAAATCCTGGATTCCGTTTTCACCTTACCCAGCAGCCATGCGGCCCCCAAGGAAGGAAGATTGCACTTCTCTGGAGATTTCCTTCTTCATTGTTCATCAAGGGTGATCCCTGCCCAGGGCAGTCATCCTAACACCCTCCTTTAAACCGGAACCCTTTGGTTTAACAGGACATTATGTTGGCTCCATAAAATGGGTCTTTGACATATTTGTTAAAGGGCAACCTGCTGAGAACACCACGGATAAGACACCAAATTCTCTGAGATGCTGGTGTCCGAACGGTGAGAAATGTGAGCTACCTGCCCACTAAAGAGAACCTAGCTTCAAATGTGAGTAGTGAGAATGGCAGCAGCAAAGCCCTTCCTTCTTAGTGTTCCTGCAGTCCAATTATACAATTTACCACCTCTATACAGCACTAGGGAGCAATCTACCGTGTTTCCCTGAAAATAAGACATCCTCCGAAAATAAGACCTAGCGCATGGAAAGATAAGACATCCCCTGAAAATAAGACCTAGCGCAACTTTGGGAGAAAAAATTAATATAAGACACTGTCTTATTTTCAGGGAAACAGGGTAGCAACCATTCTATTCAGCAGGCTTCTTTAATGGCATAAATAGCTACAAAATTATTAAAAGCTGAATACTGTTCTAATGGGCTGAAAAAGAACGTACAAGCCCTAAACAGTTTGGCTCAGTGGATAGAGCATCAGCCTATGAACTGAAAGGTCCCAGGTTCGATTCCAGTCAAGGGCATGTACCTTGGTTGTAGGCAGGAGGCAGCTGATCGATATTTCTCCCTCATCGATGTTTCTAACTCTCTATCCCTCTCCCCTCCTCTCTGTAAAAAATCAATAAAATGCATTAAAAAAAAAAAAAAAAAAAAAAAAAAAAGACCATTCAGGAGGTTCTCCACTTAAGAACGTGCTGAGTTTCAAAAACTTATGTATAAGCCCAGATGTTGAAGATCACGTTGCCCAGGCTGGCTCAGCCAACCCCAAGTCGCTACACACTTATGTAAACAGGATGCCCAGGCTTGCAGTCCTTGTAGTTTAGCTGCTGGATGTGATTTGCAGTGTTGCTGCTCTGGTACCCTCAGTTCTGAGTTTTAACTCAGGACGCCCGGAGTGGAACTACTTTGCTCACCTCCGGAGGAGCGGGCGAGGGGCAACACTAGGATGAAGGGGAAGGATGGAAAGAGCAGAGCGGGGTAGAATAACTTACTACCGACATGTACCTGCACATAAGGCCTTACCCTTGGTAGGTCCATTTCCCTTGAAGTGTTCTGAACTGGGACCAGAGACAAAGTTCATTTCATAAACACAGAACAAATGAGGCAACCGTAGGACCAGAGTTGACCTGGAAGAGCTCAACCTGTGGTGAGGAGGGGCAGGTACCCAGCATGCACTTCAACAGGAGCCACAAGGAGGATCTGAACAAGCACCCAGGTGCCCCCGCCCGGCTGGCCTGGGAGAGGCTCCATAGAAGAGATGACATTTGAGCTCAGCCTGGCAGACCGCTGGGATGTTGTCACCTGAGAGGCCCTGAGTCATCACCATCCCTTTTATATACACAGGTTTATTCTTAAGGAAGGCATTTTAAGAGATAATCAGTGTGTACGAACTGAAAGTGTTCCCCAAAATGCCAAACATTTTAACATAACTTCCCCCGCCCCCATTTTTTGACAGTTGTGATTGGTAGGAGTGAAAACCAGACATCAGTGTTAACAGGCTTCAGAGAATGAGAGGGATTTCACTCTAAAAGGGAAATTAAAATAATTTTAAAGTATGTATTCCAGCAAATCATCTGTGAGCTCACTCTGAATTCCCTTTCATCCCAGCAGAGCCACAAAGAGATAGGTGTATTTTACCTTACAGAAGACATGTTTCTGAAAGGTTGGATGTGAAAAAATCCTGAGTATATTAAGACATTTAAAATCAACAAGGGAGCTCGGCCAACATGGCTCAGTGGTTGAGCATCAACCAGGAACCAAGAGGTCACGGTTCGATGCCTCGTCAGGGCACATGCCCGGGTTGTGGGCTCAGTCCCCAGTGTGGGATGTGCAGGAGGCAACCGATCAATGATTCTCTCTCATCATTGATGTTTCTCTCTCTCTCTCCCTCTCCCTTCCTCTCTGAAATCAATAAAAATATATTTTAAAAAACAAAATAAAACCAACAAGGGAAACTGGTTAACCCAAAAAAAAACCACAGTGGGTGTATTTCCATAAAATCAGAAATCGTTTAATAATGTGAACACTTACTCTCAGGTTCTTTTATTATATTTTTATTTGGGGAAAAAAAAAAAAAAGCTTACATGCAGTTTTTGTAAAGTTGCCCACTGGTCGCAGGTATGATAATGATGCTGCTGCCTATGAACACTTTCATTGAAGGAGTATCGTAAAAATCTCTCGAGCGTAAGTGGTTGTGAGAAATGGGGCAGCATCCTCTTTAACCACGAAGAGAGGATTCCTAGGTTTGCAGCACTCCCCTTCGAAGTTTCTACGGCACTCACGATTGTGTCTCCATCGTGATCACGATTCCCCGGCTCTGTCCATCCCCCTCCCCCCCTCCACGTTCCTGCTGTATGCCATCAGTCCCCAGGCCTCAGCTGTGGCTTGTGGCAACGGCTGCCTCAGAAGGACAAAACTGAGAAGCCCCCAGCAGAGGAAACCTACTCTAAAACTGCCCTGGACTGCCCTACTCCTGACCACCAGCCCCCCCTAGACAGCCCTGTGCTGAGGCTGGCTCAGTGGTGAGCTCTGCCCCATCCTGCTCGCCCACCTGTGCCTCCAAAGCCCCAGAATGGGGCCCACCCCTGTGTTCTGACACTCCCCGTACTGGTCCTCACAAACCCAGAAGCCCAGTCCTCCTCGCCATGGCTTCTGCTTCATCTCGGCATTTCCAGTGGGGAGACATCCCTTTGTAGCATCTCACCGATGGGCCCCATTTGATGCCACGGGTGTTTGCTCTCAGTTGGGTAACTCGCCAGGTTTCCACCCAGCAGTCGGACACTCTGCTTGGTCCCTGCGGCAGCTCCCCGCTTCCCAGGAGGCCCCAGGAGGACGGGCCCCTTCTTCTCCAGCTACAGGAACGCGGAGTGGGCCTCCGGGAGGTTCTCCTCCAGCTTCAGGCCCAGGTTGTCGATGCCAATGCTGGGGGCCGGGGGCACGCTGCTCTCCGCCGGCTCCGCCGTGCGCGTGGGGGTGGAGCAGTACAGAATGAAGCCCACCATGATGACGGTGAAGGATAGGATGTAGAGCCCCGAAAACTAGGAGGAGAGAAGGACAGCTGAGGATGATGCGCCCACATGCACACACAGCTTTGCAGCTGCCTCTTGCCAAAACCCTCCTGCGTACGTGTAAACGCCTGGTCCCTGGCGACGTGCCCCGCACATCAGCCGACTGGCTACCTTCAGCTCCAGGAAATGGAACTTGCCTTTTTCTGTGACAACCTAGCGGCACCCCACCACACAACCAGCCCCACTTAATTAAGAGAATGAAAGGTGAGTGGATTCCAAGTAGAGAGCCCAATTCTGACCCACTGCACAGCTTCCAAGATTGGTGTGAAACAGGAGCACAGAATCTAAGATAAAATGTGGGTGCACAGCCCTGGCCAGGTGACTAAGTTGGTTGAAGCATCATCCTGTACACCCAAAAAGGTCGTGGGTTCGATTCTCGGTCAAGGGCACGTTCCTAGGTTGCAGGTTCGATCCCTGGTCCTGGTGGGGCGCATGTGGGAGGCAACGAATTGATGTGTCTCTCGCACATCGATGTTTCTCTCTCTCCTTCTCTTTCTCTCTCTCCCCACCTCCCTACCTCCTTTCCACTCTCTCTAAAAATTAAATGAGAAAATTATCCTTGGGTGAGGATGAATAAAAATAAGTAAATTAATAATAAGTACTCTGCATATTTGAATTAAGGATCCATACAAAAGTTCAAATCTAAGGAAATTAGTATTTGTTTTTAACAAATAAAACACAGAAAAATATGAAAAATAAAACACAGAAAGAGAATAAGGACTGACCAAGAAGGATGTAATAAAACTTAGGGAAACTATGCAGCATAATGAGTGTGTAATTAAATACCCAGAATCATGTGGGGTTTTTTCTTTGGAACAAACAAGCACAATTTATAAGTGGCCCTGATAACCTGATTGCAAATTAAAAAAAGGGGGGGGGTGCTACTTAATTCAAGCCAATAAATATTTTTAATTAGCTTAGATTTCATAGCATGCCCAATAAAAACAGTTCTAATCAGGGGATAACAAAGAAAAACAATAACAAAACAGAATGGGTTGGGAAAAGAGAGAGAAGGATGAGAGACACAGAGAGAGAAGAAAAAGCAAGATACACTCTCAATGGTAAAAGAAAAAGCTAAGTAGGTTTTGGAATGAGTATTGGGTAGATTTATATATATATATATATTTTTTTTTTAAATTATTATTGTTGATTTTTTACAGAGAGGAAGGGAGAGGGATAGAGAGTTAGAAACATCAATGAGAGAGAAACATCAATCAGCTGCCTCCTGCACAGCTCCTGCTGGGGATGTGCCCGCATACAAGATACATGCCCTTGACCAAAATCGAACCTGGTATCTTTCAGGCTGCAGGCCAATGCTCGGAACCGCTGAGCCAAACCAGTTAGGGCATTAGGTAGATTTCTGGTCATCTCCAGCTGGGGGCTTCTGCGCGTCACCATTGGCTCAAGGGTGACGCTCAATTACCTCTTACCCTTGAGCCTTTAGGGCCACAGCCCTCCCCGAGGCAGAGAAGCCTTCACTGGATCCAGTGGTGACGCAAAGCCAACGTGAATGTCAAGCTGAGCAACCCAACTCATATCCTAGCATTGCCTTTAATTCTTGGACCTAATATGCTGCATGGTATCCTATACATAGCTGGTGTTTAATAATGTTTATTGGGGTAGTGGCAAGGGGTGGGGGGAGGATTCAGAGAATATTAGAGGTAGAAAAAGTTAAAGTTATTTAGAGTACCCTGAACTTTTTAGGTTGGTATTATGAAAGTTAACCATGCTCTCCTATATAAAATATTCAGTAATTGAGGGAGAACCTACGTAACTTATTCAAAACATGTCTTGTTTGGTTTGATGGTTCTAAATATTTAGAAGAAAAAGCATCCTGTTCCTCTTAAGAAGACAGGTGATTAAATCAAGGCACCTGTATTAGAAGAGAGAAACCGAGAGGGAGTGCGGTAAGTCTCCTAAATTAGACACTCTAACTTTTTTCCTTTTTTTAAAATTCTGCCCTTGTGTCTGGATCTATACAGGAAACTTCTGTGAATACTCTGTTCAATGGGTATTTACTCAAGATCAGTTCCAAAGGAGGCAGAATCTGACACAGATGAGTGTAGAAAATTTTAATTCTCTTTTTCAACTGTGTTTCAAAAAATCAGAGCCAGTTCATTTAGATACTACAATTTTAATAATTGGAGGTACACGGGGTTATGATTCTGTCTTTTAAAACTATTTTTACCATAGAGGGTCGGACCTGCATTGCCACCATCTGTCCATCATCCAGATATCATTGATGACATGTACACATAAGGAACTATTTGACATTGAAACTGGATCTCAGAACTGTTGGACATTGAAATTGGGACTCAAGCGTTATTATATATTTATTTCTAGTCTGCAGTTGCAAGATTTTTCAAAGAAAAGAAATAGGGAAAATATAGTTATAGAGATAAAGAACCATTAAATAGACTATCAAACTATAGCGGGAAGGCAAGGGAGGCTGGGGGTGGGGGGCTGTAAAAAATCAATTGAAGGACTTGTATGCATGCATATAAACATAACCAATGGATACAAGACACGGCGGGGGGGGGGGGCAGGTGAGGGCATATGTGGGGGGGTAGGGGAGGCTGGGGGGAGGTCAAGGGGGAGAAAAAAGGAGACATATATACTACTATTTGTAATGCTTCAAACAATAAAAAAGAAAAGAAAAAAATGCTAGGTATCTTCTTTATTCTTCTCTATGCTTCTTCATATTTGGTTTCCCATGTCTGTAACTGACTCTGAAAATCACAGAGGACCCGCTCTTTGCTCTGTCTTGAAATGACCTTTGACCAAGAGCAGCGAAATCTGATCTGATACAAGAGTGAACTGCTAGGCATGCAGAGTCAAGGAAACAAAAATCAAAACAGCTAGAAAGGAATTCACAATTTGTAGTCTCCAATTTGGAGAATAATTTAAAGTCATGTGGCCGGAAAAAAATGGCACACAGAAGGGTGTTCACATATTACAGTTAGAGCAGTTAAGGAGCAAATATTTACATTAAGGGAGCTTCCAGCAGTTTAGTAGTGACAAGGGTACTTTTACCTCTAAGCTTTTATATCTTTAACCTTACTTCCTCCTGGGACATTACTTTACTTATGAGGGACAGTTAAAGTTAAACTACTAAAGCTAAATCAGTATGTTTGGTTAAAAAAAAAAAAAAAAAAAGCACAGGTGAGCAGGGCCATTAGTCACACTATTGAACTCGGGCTTTCTTTGGGCTCCAGTAGCTATCAACTGGCCTTGAACTGCAGAATAGAAACACCATCATCTTCTAGTGGTGGCTCTGTGAAATGCAAGCTCAGCACCACAGAACAACTCACTCTCATAGGAAAAGAAATCTAAGCCTGTCAGGGTCACTCTGATTCACTTTGACAATTTTTTACTGTTTAATGCTGCTAAAAAAATAAAAATTAAAAATAAAAAAATAGGCAGTTAGGGGCAACCAGGATGGCAGGGGAGGGCAGTTGTGGGCAATCTTAGTTCAGGAATTACTACAGGTAACAAGAGCAATTCCAGCAGTTAGGGGTGACCAGGCCTGCAGGGGAAGGCAGTTGGGGGCAACCAGGCCTGCAGGGGAGGGCAGTTGGGGGCAATCAGCCCAGCAGGGGAGGACAGCTGTGGGCAATCTTAGTTCAGGAATACCTTAACCAGCAAGTTTGCAAGGATAACTAACAGCTGATTCTTGTCACGTGTACCTGGCAAGGCAAAATAGTTTCCACTCCTTACGTAGAAATGTCTGAGAATCCACTGAACGAGGCAGTGTGAGTTCGTAGCCAATTCCTGGGAACAGTGTAAAATCAGTGCCAAAGATTTCTGCCTGGATACAAAATTATTCAAAGACCAAGAAATGTAGTTGCTATTCCCTGCTGAAACTAAAATTACCAAGTGACAGCCACCATCCCTACTATGTGTTCACCCTAGCTATTGGTTGCAAAGAGAGCAAACAGGTCCAGAAGCATTCACTGCAGGTGTGTTAAGGAAAGACAGATCTCTAAGGCAGCAGTTCTCAAAATGTGGCCTCAAGACTCTTGAAGGTCGAAGTCTGTAAGGTCAAAACTCTTTTTATAATTATACCAACATGCAATTTGCCTTTTTCACCTTCATTCTCGTAGAAGAGCACAATGGAAGGTTCCAGAGACTACATGACGTGTGATATCACAAAGCAGAATGAAGAACCAGATGTGGAATTTCAGCTATTTTTCATTAAGCCAAACATTAAAGAGATTTTTTAAATTGTGAATCAATACCATTTTTACTATTTTTTTATTTTTGGAAATATAGGTTTTTTTTAAAAAATGTTTTATGCTAACATATGTTTTTTTATTTTCTTAATGAGTTAATAAATATTGTTTAAGTATCTCAGTTTTAAATTCTGATATGATAAATCATAGAAATAAGTAACCTGCATTTAAATTTTTAATTTTTAAGCATTTAAAAAGGTCCTGATATCAAAAAGTATGAGAACTGCTGTTCAAAGAGTTTTTGAATTAGCTGTGAAGTACAGAAGAAAAAAAAAAATCTCCCTATTTGGTTCTTTCTAATGCATGAGACTTTACCTAGATAAATACATAAGCTTGAGATTCACATCTTATTCATGACAACAGAGAAAAAACATGCAGTGCATAGAAGACTACACTGTAAGACTGATAAGCCTTTGTTTCCTCACTTCTAAAATGAAATCATTCATTCTGTAATTTTCAAGGGAAGGTGAAGCAGACTTTCTGGAAACACTATCTTCGCTCTCCTGTTTCCTTGAAGACAATAATCCATTCCCTCCCACCCCACTCCTTGAGAATTACTACATGTAGCAAGAGCAGTTCCAAATGGGAGCAGGCTATACTTTGGAATGCTGTGAGGCTTCCGAGACAGAAAAAGTCTGAAAAACCACTAGATTGAATTACCTTTAAGGTCCCTTCTAGATATAAAATTACCATCACTACATGCATGATAATACAATGATCTCCTTCCTTTCGACCGGGTACCACAGACTCTATCTGTGTAACAGGATTCACAGCATGCAAGTGTATGAAACCAACAAGTTGTAAACCTTAAATTTACACACTTCTCAATTATCCTATATAATAAAGAGGTAATATGCAAATTGACCCTCATGTCCTCACACAAGATGGAGGCCCCATGTGGTCAAAGATGGCTGCCACAAGATGGCCAGCAGGGGAGGGGTAGTTGTGGGTGATCAGGCCAATAGGGAAGGACAGTTGGGGGCAACTAGACCTGCAGAGGAGGGTAGATACGGTGATCAGGCCAGCAGGGAAGGGCAGTTGGGGGGACCAGGCCTGTAGGGGAGGGCAGTTAGGAGCAACCAGGATGACAGGGGAGGGCAGCTGTGGGCAATCGGGCTGGCAAGGGAGTAGTTAGGAGGTGATCAGGCTGGCAGGCAGGGGAGCGGTTGGGAGCCAGCAGTCCCAGATTGTGAGAGGGAAGTCCGAGGGATCACAGATTGAAAAGGCTGCAGGCTGGGCTGCGAGACACCCCCAGTGCACGAATTTTGTGCACTGGGCCTCTAGGATCTCAATAAATCTGGAGGGGGGAAAGCTCAGGATGCCCAACCTGAGATGGTCTCTCAAAGTCATCAGTAGCTCTGGGGTTTCTTGTTTATCACCAGGCAACATGCATTAGCATTTCCAATGCAATAGTGTTATGGGTCATACCAAAGAGGAAATACATTGCATTTCACCTTTTAGAAAAACAAGTCTTATTTGGGCCAATTTTCCAACTTGGAAGCAGTAACAAAGGGAATGAGAACTGTGCAATAAAATTTTTGCCAAGAGGATAAGAAGGTTTTATTTTTGGGTCTAAAGTCTTAAAGAAACCTACTCCTTCTTTTGGACTAACCAAAGTGTTCTAATTTGAACATGGATTCTATTTACTTACCTGATAGCCAAAGAGAAAGAGTCCAAAGAAAAGGCTGTAAAGATCAGCTGTCAGGATGCCCAGGTTCACTGAGGTGGCACTGGTAACTTTAATCACCAGTGGCATGAAGCTGTACAGACAGAACATACAGAGGGCAAATGCCACGAACAGCAGGGCTGTAAAAACATGGAAGAAATCAGAAGGCAATGTGCTAAAAAAAAAAAATAAAAAAAAATGCTGCCATTTAAAACTGCTGGTCCTTTAACATACTATCTACAAAGCCCCTTGTTAGTATCAGCATTGCAAATGATACACACAACACTCACACACAAAGAGAAAAAAAATAGAAGAAGAAGAACAACAACAACAACAGCAGCAAGATGTGATGTAGGTAAAAGACTTCAAAAATTCAACAGGGTGTTGAATAATCAAGCAAACAACCTTCGCAAAAAGTCTGCACACTGAAGATACAGTTCTAGTAATTGAAAGCTAATGTGACAAAGGTCTTTCTTGTTCAGAATTCCTGGTAAAGAAAGGCTATTCCTGAAGGCAAAGATTAAAAATTAACTTCTACGGAGGTTCATTTACAAGTTCTCGGAGAAAACGCAATATAAACCACTATAGTGTGTATTGAATTACTCTGTGATTTTTACAAAAATGCCTAAGTATGAATTACTCTGTGATTTTATAAAAATGCCTATTATTAAAATGAAGTATTTATCTCTTGATGTGTGTCTTTGTCATAGGAAAGGATGCTGACTAAAACTGTCTAAAAAGAATGATAAGGATATTTATGTACATACCAATTTTCCAGTCCCAATGAATGCTGGCAATATCCGTATATTCCACAAGCAATCTAAGGTTAAAGCAAGAGGTCACAAAGAGGTATGCACACCAGTTTTCACCATTGTATTGAATATAAGCACTTAGTTGCTATACTTCAAATAAAGTGAGGAATTATGTTGACTTTGGAATTTTTCTGAGAGTATAAAAATAACTGTATTTTTTATAAAAATGACAAAGAAGAGCCCAGCTTGTGTGGCTCCGTGGTTGAGCGAGGATTTGACCTATGAACCAGGAGGACATGGTCTGATTCCCGGTCAGGGCATGTGTCCTAGTTGCAGGCTTGATCCCCAGTGTGAGGCGTGCAGGAGACAGTTGATCAATATTTCTCTCTCATTATAGATGTATCTCTCTCTCTCTCTCTCTCTCTCCCTCTCTCTCTCTCTCTCTCTCTCTCTCCCTCTCCCTCTCCCTCTCCCTCTCCCTCTCCCTCTCCCTCTCCCTCTCCCTTTCTCTCTGAAATCAATAAAAATATTATTTTAAATGACAAAAAATAAAACCAAAAAGACCCATAAACATATTTTACTGTCTTAAAGCACTCTTCAATAACAGTCAGCTATAGGAGAAAAATATGATATTGTGTTTTCCCTTTGGATAGGAAGTTAATATTTTTTTGAAATAATTGATAAAGAGACTCTTTACTGGTACTGCCTCTACCACAGGTATAAGAAAATGAGACACAATTCTTAACATTTCAAAAATCCTCTAATATATAGGTAGCAAGTTACTGATTTTATTTTTTTTTCAATTTAAATTCTTTATCTAAAGTATTACATGAATCTCCCTTTCCCTCCCATTGACCTCTCCCTGGCTGCTCCCATCCCCAAGCACGTGCCCCGTACTGCCTGTGTCCATTGGTTATGCTCCTATGCATGCATACAAGCCTTTGGTTGATCTCCTACCCCCTCAGCCCCCACCTTCCCTCATAGGTTTGTATAGTCTGTTTAATGTCTCTGGTTCTATTTTTGTTCATATGTTTACGTTGTTCATTAGAGCAAGTTACTGATTTTAAATGTGAGTCTGGGCCAAATAAATAAGGAATATTAGTAGTTGGAGAGTGATAACCTATGACATATTTGCTAATTTTGTTTTTGAGGAAAAATTTAGACTCACAGCTGTATGCCACTGATGATTGTTCCGAAGAAGCCCAGCATTCCTAAAAACTCCCGTCTGCTCAGCTTCTTCACAATGTACTCTTCACACACATTAGAAATGGCATAGAGGGAAGCCCCAACAAGAACCAAGACGTCACCAACCAGAACATCACTGCCTACAAGAAGACAAGCCACAAAAAGGAACAATTATCAATAGGAAAACCTCTTTAGCTTGCTCCTAGGAGTTTATGTGGCTAGTGTTCACTTAAGATTAAGATTTTAAGGAAGAAGAAACCCTGATTTCTAGAAGTTTAAAGACTCTTGATCTTCTTACTTTCTGGCACAATTCTGCTGTGATTTTTCATATTTTGACTGTTCAAGAGACTAACAGACTGTGGTATATGCCTTAATATGAGGTCTCAGAAAATTATTCTATGGCATGAGAAATAATGGAATTTATTGAAGGGAATTAATTTAAAATGATAAGGAAGGTAGGTAAGCAAGGTCATTTCTCTCTTAATGGAGCTATTTAAGTCACTGGTAGATTAGAATGAACTCATACACCTTATTGAGATTTACACCATCAATTGCCTGAACCTTGATCCAAAGACTATCAAAGTATTTTCATCAACAGAGTCGACACAAAGTCTCTATTTGATTTTAAAAAAAAGAAAGAAAGAAAAAAGAAAAGAAAAAGAATCTACATATATTTTCTTATAACTAATCCAAATGTATGGACCAGAATAAGATTGCAAATATATAAAGAAATTTATTTCATGAAAAGAAACAAAACCAGTGTGAAAAAAGGAACAAGAATTGTGGGCAGGTAGAGCATAAAGAGTGCTTTGTGGAAATGGTTACTAAACCCAGAAGCAAGTAAATCTGAAAATAAAATTGAAAAGATAGTTAACCAGTACATATTTCCTGCATTGTACTGTATATTTAAAAAATAAAAGTGAAAACCTAAGCAACATTTTTCTATGGGACTGAAACAGAAAAAAGTCACACAGTCTTACCTGAATTGTCTTCCCTCCCTGATAATATGTCTGCACCAACCATAGTTCCGACACCCAGCAGACAGACAGCCACGGCAACAAAATGGATCACTCTGTATCTCGCATAAAGAATGAACCAGGAGAGAGCCATCAACACAGGAATTCCAAAGCAATCCAAAAGCTGCATGGAAGGAGAAACAGACAGCTTAGAACACCTCTCATTAGCTAAAGATAGGTGATTAAGTAATAATAAAAGTTAGCAATTATGCTTGGCCAGCATGGCTCAGTGGTTGAGCATTGACTATGAACCAGGAGATCATGATTTGGTTCCCGGTCAGGGCACAGTGTGGAGTGTACAGGAGGCTGCCAATGGATGATTCTTTCTCATCATTGATGTCTCCATCTCTCTCTCCCTCTCCCTTCCTCTCTGAAATCAATAAAAATATATTTACAAAAAAAAAAGAGAGAGAGAAAACAATATATAGTGCCCTTTGAGTGCTGCCTGTCATAATACCATTAAAATAATAATAATAATAATCCTATATAATAAAGAGGAAATATGCAAATTGACCATCACTCCAACACACAAGATGGCCGCCCCCATATGGTCAAAGATGGCAAACCCCCATGTGGACACAAGATGGCCACCACAAGATGGCCGGCAGGAGAGAGCAGTTGGAAGGGATCAGGCCTGCAGGGAAGGGCAGTTGGGGGCGACCAGGCTGGTACAGGTGACCAGATCGTCCCACTTTTGGCGGGACAGTCCCGATTTTTAACAATTTTTCCCACGTCCCATGGCGTTTTTAAAAAGTCTCAATTTTTGGAAAGAATCTTTCCAATCTTTCTAAAAACCAGGACTTTTTTAAAACGCCATGGGATGTGGGAAAAATTGTCGAAAATCAGGACTGTCCTGCCAAAAGCGGGATGATCTGGTCACCTTAAGTTAGGGGCAACAAGGCTGGCAAGGGAGGGAAGTTAGGGGTGACCAGGCCAGGAGGGGAGGGCAGTTGGGGGTGACCAGGCTGGCAAGGAAGGGCAGTGAGGGGCAATCAGGCCAGCAGGAGAGCAGTTAGGTGTCTATCAGGCTGGCAGGGGAGTGGTTAGGGCACATGTGTCAAACACAAGGCCCTCGGGCCAAATCCGTCCCGACAGGCCTTGCAATGTGGCCCGCACCGCACTGTCATCACTGCACTCCGCTGCGTTTCCATCACAATGACAGTTTATGACTGTTCAGTAAACCATTCGGCCCGCGATTTAGGCTGGATTTTAGATTTTGGCCCCTTCTCTGATTGAGTTCGACACCCCTAGGTTAGGGGATCGGCAGGCAGATGAGTAGTTGGGAGCCAGCAGTTCCTCTAGGGGTCCCAGATTGGAGAGGGTGCAGGCTGGGCTAAGGGAAACCCCACCCCCCATGCACAAATTTTGTGCACTGGGCCTCTAGTAATAAATAAAATACAAGTCAAAGAGATATAGCCCTGGCCAGCTCTGTGATTACAGTGTGGGCCTACGGACCAAAGGGTTGCAGGTTCAATTCCCAGCTGTGTTGAGGGTTCAATCCCTGGTCCCTGTGGGTTGGTTGGGGCACATATGGGAGGCAACCAATCAATGTGTTTCTCTCAGATTGATGTTTTCCTGTATTTATATCTCCCCTCTCTACCTTCCCTCCCCTCGACTCGCTCTAAAAATCAATGGGAAAAAATCATTCGAGAATTAACAAACAAACAAAAGTCTGAGAGATAGTTGCTCAACCCAGGAATTCTGCCCAAGGGCCTAGGCAAATTACCTCCACATTCCCTCCTGTGTGTTATCCTTAAGCTCAATAAGCAAACTTTCCTTCCTGCATGTACCCATTCCCTCAGACAACAAATATTTCAGAATGGAAAACACGGAAAGAAGCTGGAATGTAGAGAAAAAGAGCCCCCAGCCCTGTCCTCAGTAGCTCACACAGGGCTAGACAGACGTGGCATACATAATCACACAGCCAGATATTTAGCTGCCATTGGGGTCAGAACTACAAAAGAAAAAGTACTGGTTATTATGAGAAAGCAAGAAGACACCATCTCCCTGACAGAATCCAATCTCACTTTGTCAGACAAACACCTGCGCAGAGCAAATACTCTTGCTTGTCATCACCTGTTGATCCTGGGTCCAGAAAATATTTGCTACACCCTACTATTGCCAGTCTGAAAAGAGGGGGATTAAGAGTGACAAAATTATAGCAAATCCAAAATCACTTATAAGATAAAGGAAAAACAGAGATTTCATTAGCTCAGTTCCTCACAAATTTTGAAAATTCAAGGATAAAAGATAGTCCTTATAATATTCTTCAATCTGTTGATTTGGTTTTTGTTTGTTTGTTTGTTTGTTTTTTGCATATCTTCTTGTTTTTAACCTTGTCCTAGATTCTCTATGTCTGTCTAATCTTGGACAAGGCAGGCCCCTGAATCTCCGGTGGCAGCATGTTAGATCCTGCCCACCGCTGCTGGCTAACTGTCTTTCACTGCAGTCATTCCTGGAGTCAGATGCCTGTGCAGGAATGGGCCTTGTTATTTATTCCAGCTGCAGAACTCTAATCTCCTAAGTGCTCTATCCAGCTTGCCTGGATAACAAAGCCTTGAACGATGCAAATGATAATAGCCTGTCCCAGGAGACACGCAGAATCTGGCCCTAATGACTTAAAGTCTCAACTACATTCCTTAAGCAAAAAGGAAAAAGTCACTCTGAAAACTCTCACAGGAGACTCCCTGTCCTTGAATTGTATCTTAAAATCAAACTGAAATTTGCTCTACTTTTAACAATTTTAGTGGGAAGAGAGTGGCCGTATAAAGGAAACTGCCTAAGTCATGGTAAGAGTTCCAGACTCCCCCGGCCCGTCACCAACTGTGTGAGTTACAATCAGTCACCCTCTAAGCCAAAACATGAAGAGGTCAGACCAAATGATCTCCTCACAAGTCTCTTCCAACTCCCAAACTCCAGGACTTCTTACCTTATATCTAGCACATTCAGCCATTCATCTACGTGAAACTTCCTTTTCAAAATGTACTGTTTGTGACTCTGATGCTTTCAGTTCCAGGAGTCCCCCTATTTTAATTTAATCTTTATAAATTATTGTGCAGGCATAGAAAGCACGGTACTAAGTAAGACCCTGTGGGGTCAGGGAAGGCATAAGTATAGCATTGAGTTAGCCCAGCCAGTGTGGTTCAGTGGTTGATCATCAGTCTATGAACCAGAAGGTCACGGTTCAATTCCCGGTCAGGGCACATGCGGGGGTTGCAGGCTCAATCCCCAGTAGGGGGCGTGCAGGAGGCAGCCAATCGATGATTCTCTTTCATCATTGATGTTTCTAATTCTCCCTTTCCCTTCCTCTCTGAAATCAATAAAGATATTTTTAAATAAAAATAAATAAATGGTGATGGGGGAAAAAATAAATTAAAAAAATAAAAATATACCCCTTGCTAGAGCCCTAAGTACATAACTTTTGACAACCAAATGCTTAGGTTTTTCTAAGAGGCTACAAGACATTTTGGGTAGTATAAGGCATGAACTTCAGTCACAAAAACCCCAGTCCAAGTGTTTTGACCTTGCACCAATTCAAATCTTCTAATTATTATTAGTCAGAGATCAAAGTTTCTGGAAATTATAGTCAAGTAATTGGATTATGTGTGAGATTATGAGGGTAGATGTGACTAGAAAATGTTATTTGTTTAAAGTACAGTTAATACTATTTGTGATGAACTTCATCCTCTAAGAAACTAACTTCTGGTTTTAATTTTTATGAAGTTCTGGGTTTTTCCATGTCCCTCCTATAATGTCTGACAACAAATAGTTTCTATCAGAGCTTTGAAACTCATGCCAGTCAAAAACCAAAAGGTCTGCTCTGGACCATGCTTAGCACCATGTGACAGAAAAGAAGGCATTTAATAAAATGCATTCTGGTAATACCAGCACTTAATGTATATGCACCCTGGGAAAATACTGAGTTTCCAATCTATCCTTATGTTTTCCAAATGAAGTAAGACTCATCTCACGTCAATTTTTTCTACATTCCTAAAATTTGGAGATCAAATGAAACATCTCTGTTTTACATAATGAGAAAAGCAAAGCATCAGAAAGTTATAAATTCATTAAACAGTGAAGTCTAAACCTGGCAATGGCATCTATCTCACTTTCACCTCCATTTATAAAACATCTTGTGGTTAGTGCTGGTGACTCAGCGTTGCGATACATCCCACAGTTTCCTAACATTACAACTGCATCACGCACCCATCACCCAAAGCAAAGTCCCTTTCCACCCCCATGTATGCCCCCTTTGCTCACCTCTGCCGACCCCACCCCCTCCCCATATGTTCTTTGCTTAATCTCTTCACCTTCTTTCATCCAGCCCCCCATCTTCCTCTTCTCGGACAGCAGTCAGTCTGTTCCATGCATCCATGCCTCCTTTTTACTTTCTTCGTCAGTTTATTTTGTTCATTAGATTCACACACACCCAACAAATTCAATTTTAAAAAGGCAACTTAATGGGTCTAACTCAACTCCACCGGCTAAAAAATCCTGTTGCATAGGAACATATGTCTTTCAATCAAGCAAAAACTAATAAACGAATAAGGATACAAGCTTTAGCTACCATCTCTACCCAACAGATCTAGCACATTCCGTCCAATCGCTCCTATTTGAATACCCACTTGCAAACCTACCACTTTTCTGTAGCACAAATGTGCAGCCACTTTCTATGCCGTGTGTGAGCAACGTATAATGCAGAGCTCTCGTCAACATCACAGCATCGGTTGCCAACTAAATATTTATGCTTATTTGGGAAGACACAGTTCTAATATGCTACAGCATTTGCAGTTTGGGAACTCATTAACTCGTGTGCATGTTCCCTAATCCCCAGGTGCTTACTCATCAGCGCATATGCTCCTCTGAAAACAGATAGCATCCACCTGTGCTTGCGTTTTCTTTGAGCGAACAGGTTTGCCACAAAATTAGGTTAACACATGTGGGTTCGGATTCTTCTCTTAAAACTATATACTAATCCAAACTGGTCAAGGGACTCCCTCGCACCTGGACGCTGGTGAGAGTCGTGTACTGGTAAGCTCTGACAATCAGGTAATTCGCTTCCACGTCTGCTAGGCCCAGCAGGATGTACTTCCACCATTTTCTTTTCAAGATGTGGAAAAGGCTGTCGGGGCCTGGTGGAAAGAAATCTGGGTTAGTACATGTGACTTGGAAAATGAAGCCGTGCGTGTTTATTTATATTTACTGTGTATTTTGGAAGTGGCCCCTCCTAATGCGTACAATAGCTTCTACAAATTCCTACAACAGGTCAGCAGAATCAAATTTTTCTAGTATGAGACCCAGCTAAGATGTCATCATAGACCAATTGTTCAATGGAAACACCAGAGAGAAAGTAAGTAGAGAAACGTGGTTAAATTCCTTTCTTCCTTGTGACAGAATTATAGCATCTAAAACAGGTTTGGATGTTGCCATTCCTGACAAGCTACCAATTATCCTAAGAAATGCAATGTTTTCTTATTCATTCGCTAGAAGCCCAGTGCACGAAATCCATGCATGGGCAGGGTCCCTAGCAACTGCTGACTGCTAGCCAGGGCCTCCCTTCCCCAGCTTCCAGCTGCCGGCCCAGGGCCTTCCTTCATTCCATGCCACCTCTTGGTGGTCAGCGCACACGTCATAGCAAGAGATTGAACTCCCAGTCAGTCAATCTCCCAAAGGGGCACTTTGCATATTAGGCTTTTATATATGTAACCTCCATTCATGGGCTTCTTAAAAGGAAACTCTGCAATGATCATTACTTTAAAAGCGATGTGCTTTCAAAAAAATAAAATTTAAAAAAGAGATGTTCTTTCAAGAGAAAAGTACATCAGTTATAAATTTGGAAAAAAGACTTAGTAACACCATTGAGGAAACACCTTTTATTCACCAAATTCTATTTATTCAAGTTAACTATGATTCACTTCTTTAGAGAATTTAGCATCACAGGACAGCAGAGTTTGAACATAGATTGGAATGCTTATTGTAAGATAACCTACAAGGAAATAAAGGTAGTGAGAACCACAAGCCATCCCCCCCTCAAACCATTCCCACCTCTCCAGTATCAGTGTCCATTGGTTATGCTCATATGCATGCATACAAGTCCTTTGGTTGCTCTCTAACCCCCTCCCCTGCCATTTGTCTCTGGATTTATTCTTGTTCATCAAATTATGTTGATCATTATATCTCACATATCAGTGAGATCATGTGATATTTATCTTTCTCCGATTGGCTTATTTCACTTAGCATAATGCTCTCCAGTTCCATCCATGCTATTGAAAATAGTAAAAGTTCCTTCTTTTTTTTAATATATATATTTTATTGATTTTTTTTACAGAAAGGAAGGGAGAGAGATAGAGAGTTACAAAGATTAATAAGAGAGAATCATTGATCAGCTGCCTCTTGCACACCCCCTGATATGCCCGCAACCAAGGTACATGCCCTTGACCGGAATCAAACCTGGGACCCTTGAGTCCACAGGCCAATGCTCTATCAACTGAGCTAAACCAGTTAGGGCAGTTCCTTCTTTTTTATAGTGGTATAGTATTCCATTGTGTAGATGTACCAGTTTTTTAATCTACTCACCTACTGATGGGCACTTAGGTTGTTTCCACATATTACCTAATGTAAATTGTGCTGCTATGAACATAGAGATGTATATATCCTTTCTGATTGGTATTTCTGATTTCTTGGGATATAGTACTAGAAGTGGAATTACTGGGTCAAATGAGAGTTCCATTTTTAACTTTTGGAGGAAACTCCATACTGTCTTCCACCGAGGCTGCACCAGTCTGCATTCCCACCAGCAGTGCACGAGGGTTCCTTTTTCTCCACTTCCTCACTAGCACTTATAGTTTATTGATTTATTGATGATAGCCATTCTGACAGATATGAGATGATGTCTCATTGTTGAAGTGTTTTTAATATTGTCTCTTAATCTTATCAACCTAACTTGTAATAACATTTACACTTTTAATTTTTCTGACAACTTCTACTGTTCCAGTTTGGTGCTACTTATTTTAATCAACAATGCCAGGGTTTATGCATGAATCTCTAATCAGTACTTTCACAGAATTCAGAGGTGTCATACTTTTCTAATGACTTTTATAAAGGCAGCAATAGTTTTTCCTGTTCTTACTTTTGCCTCATGTTTCATTTTTTAAATGCCTAAAAACCACATTTTTTTACTGAAGATAGGTCATTGAAAAAAGTTAATTCCCACACTCGGCATACCTGATTGAAATGCCAGCATCACTGTATAAACGAGAAACAGCAAGCAATAGTTGATAAAGCTCTGAAGCATGGGAGTGTTCACTTTGTATTTTTCTGCCAAATACTGGCTGGTAATGGCTGTTCCACATATACACAAGGACAATATCTGACCCAGGGCAATTGTTTTCAAAATATTCCTAGAAAACAAAGAAGGAAATCTGAATAACGTGCAAGTAAGTTATACCTCTGACACAAACACAAACATGCACAACACACACATACAACATACACTTGAGTGCTCAACGAAAAGTGAAATGCCAGTTATTCCTGTTTTGTCATTATTCCATTTTATTGCTTACTTCTTATGTCCAAAAATTAAAGTGTTGGATTATTTTTTCTCATCACCATTTATCCCCTCTATGCCCTTTTCTATCTCTACCGACTCCTCTCCCCCACCGCACTGTTGTCCATGGCCATGAATAAGTGTTACATTTTGAGATTTTATTCTCTTTTACATTTGATCACAAAAATACGTATTTCTCCATTTTACTGTCCACCCATTTAGAAATCATTTTGACTACTTAGCTATGTGATACACTATTTGAAGTGGGTTTGTATGATTTTTAAAAACTCAGTTTTAACTTGTTTTAAGGCCTTTCTGTTTATTAAATGTTTAGCATGGTCTCGTCCTTTCCTTCTCCTCGTCTTGATTTCTTCAACTAGAAGTAGAGGTTTTCAATGCTACCTACATGTTAGAATCACAGCGCCTTTTTTGTTTGTTTTTTATCTTATTGTTGAAAGTATTGCATAGGTCCTCCTTTTTCCCCCTCACCCCTCCACCCCACTACTCAGGAGGAGGAGATCCCTAGGGACAACAACACGAGGAAACACAGATTCACTGGGCAGGCCTTAGAGGCCACCTGTCTCAAGACTCACATTGTCCCCCACCCTTCCAACAAGGTCCCAGGCACCTCAATTTCTACTGCTCTCAAATGGAACTCACTACTCGACCCTTGCCCCAAACCTGTTTCTCATCCTGTCTTCCTGTCCTGCTCAGTAGCCTCACAGCCATCCATGTAGTCTAGAAACCCAGACATCATGTCAGCACCTCCTCCCGAGAGCTAACGGGTGTGCTGGGCTGTGTGGAGTCTTTCATGTTATGCTCTACTTCCCGTTCACGCTGACATGGCTTTCAGCCAGGTCTCACTTTAGCCAGGACCATTGTATTGGTTTTCTAACTGCTTCTCTGCCTTGTTCCCTTCTCATCAATCCTTCTTTTCCTAATCACCAGAGTCACTGTCATAAATCCCTCTGGGTTTGTTTTTGCAAACTGGTGCAAATGGGTCACTGATGTGCAAGGTAAAGAGTTGTCAGGACTCAGGATGGCCTGCTGGGGACTACCAGAGGCATCCATCTTCTGCAAGCAGTGTACTCAGAGTACCTACAATTATGACTTTCTATTTGTGCCACGAAGCCTAAAGGGACTGTTTGCTTTGAAGATACATCAAAGAGTGGAATTGTTAGTCTCAGGGCATAAGCATCTTCAAATTTCCTTATTTTGCTAGATAGCTCTTCAAAAGTTATATTCCTTCATGTTGTTTGCTCTTTGATCTCAAAAAGAAGGAGCTGAAAAGCCCCTCCCTTCCCCGGGGAGGAACAATAGCAGGAACTGGCCAGGGGCAGACATTTTATTAGGCTAGAGAAGCACATTTTATGCCCAGGTGAGCAACGGGTTAAGACCATGGTCCCACAGAGGCAGTAGTGTTCTCAGAGATGCTCTACCTATCCCTGGCAGGTCCTCTGTGCTCACTTCCTCCTGAACAAGGCCCTGGTTCTGGATTTTAGGCTGCCCTATCCTAGATAAAAGAAATTATCCACATGGTCTTGTGGGGCCAAAGCCAAGAGTGGAAAAGTACATTTTAGGAGACAAGTGTCATGGTCCCCAGTCACATACTTCCCCCAAGAAATCTGTGGTGAAGGGAACTTGGCCAAGGACATGGTTCCAGTTTTCCTGTATTTCATGGTTCAGTTGGCATCATCAGAGCACACATTCCCAACCTAATTCTCATCACCACCCTGAGGACAGTAGTCTTCCTCCACTCCTATTACCGAGGGGAGCGTGAAGCTCAGAGTGGCTCGAAACTCACCCACAGTCCCACTGATAGGAAAAGGCAGAGGAAGTCAGGGCCCTTCGTTGTTAAAGGACTAGATAAAGGAGTTCAAATTTATTCCGAGAATCAGATCTAGGGAAACTTCTCCTCTCCTGAAAGAAAGTACCAGGACTGCAGAACTTCGGTGCTGTGGCCCATTTTTTTTAGGTGAGGATACTGTGGCCCAGAAGAGGGAAGCGTTTTGCCTAAGATCACACAGGAGCAGAGCTCATGCCCAAATTTTCTGATCATTAAGCATCTGCTGCCCCCACTACAGCTCATGGTCTTAGGATAAGTGAGGTCATATCCTTAGAGTTGACATCTTCTTACCTTCTGTATCACTTTCTCCTTCCCCCATTACCCTTCTTATATTATATTCAATACAGAGCTTATATTAGAAAACCCTTGCATCGCTCCTCGCTTTTGGGAAAGGAGTCTGGGCTGATTTCTCTCTCACCAGTTTTACACTGCTTCCGGGGACATCAAGGGATGAGTTGGCTGTCCAAAGTACAGGTCGTTGAAAAGCCTATCAAGAATCAAACTTAGACCGTTATTCATATCCCATAATGGACGTGGAAACCATTATAAATTTGAAATAAGTGAGAATAATAAGTGTGTCCTGTTCACAAATGGACAAAATTCCTCCAGCAAGCTCATATTTGCATTCTAAAACAGCCCAATTAAGCAAGCTGTCCTCCAACTATAAAGTATAGCCAACTATAAAGCATAGCCAAAGAGAGTCACAAATTGAGTGTGGCGATTTAAGGTTACAGAATGCACTTCTCTTGGCTCCAAATCATAATGACCTCATCCATAATGGAAGAGCAGGAGCAAGAGGGAGGGGGAAGGCAGACAGAAGGGGTGGAGGGGGTGGAGGCCGAACAAAAGGAGAAAGAAGAGAAAAACACTCTGGTAGAGAGAGATACCAAAGGCCTCAAAACAACTTTTATTACTTATAGCTTCACCTTTAAGCATTACACCACAAGGTCCCATTCATATGAACTGGGAACTGAATCCAGGGGCTCTTTATACCTTAACAAAACCAGTCCCTCTCTAAAGGAAGCTGCCAGTAACAATGTGCACCTAACCATGGGATATATCCTGTCACAGGGCTTCAAACGAACCTCCACTGACGTGAACTTCAAAGGCAGGATATGGTCCGACTCCAGGACATGTTTCCCAAGGCGACTTCACACTGGGGGAGACGGGCCAGCAGAAAGCAGAGCAAACAAGAGCTATGGATCATTGGGGGCAGAGGTAGGCACACAAGGTAGAAGGTAACCTGAGTAAGGTCCCTTCTGACCACATTACTATTTGGAGATATTGTATGAATTTAAAGATTGAAAAAAAGAAAAAAATGAAGGCATTTTATTTTCCCTCTGCCTTTCTTACAGAAAACCTAAAGACCCCTGATCACAGGCCAGAAATGTGAAAACAATTTCCAGATAGATTCAGCAATGAAGGAAGGCTGTAACACGGGTTTCTGCCTCATTCAAACACATCGTTTTACATAAAATGATGGGATTGATGCATTTCATTAGCTCTTGTTCATTTGCAATGTCAGGTTAGACCAGGAGCCCTTCAGCTGGGTGTGCATTAAATCATCATTGAAGGCTTAAAAAGAAAAACTGATGCCATTAAGACTAGCCCAAACCAACTGAATCAGGTCCTCAGGAAATGAGGGACTGGTTTTGTTAAGGTATAAAGAGCCCCTGGATTCAGTTCCCAGTTCATATGAATGGCACCTTGTGGTGGAATATTTTAAAAAATATATTTTATTGATTTTTCACAGAGAGGAAGGGAGAGGGATAGAGTTAGAAACATCAATGAGAGAGAATCGACAATCAGCTGCCTCTTGCACACACCCACACTGGGGATGTGCCCGCAACCAAGATACATACCCTTGACTGGAATCGAACCTGGGACTTCTCAATCCACAGGCCAACGCTCTAAACCACATGTGTCAAACACAAGGCCCGCGGGCCAAATCCGTCCCGCCAGGCCTTGCAATGTGGCCCGCACCGCGCTGTCATCACTGCACTCCGCTGCGTTTCCATCACAATGACAGTTTATGACTGTTCAGTAAACCATTCGGCCCGCGATTTAGGCTGGATTTTAGATTTTGGCCCCTTCTCTGATTGAGTTCGACACCCCTACTCTAAACATTGAGCCAAACCAGTCAGGGCTATCAGCCTATTTTTAAAAGCCCTTTCAACGAGTCTACTAGGCAATAGGATGGCAAACCACTGAATTATTCTCTCCCTTTTATTTGAAGAAAGAGTTCCAAGTGACTGATAAAATGCATTGTTTGAATGCAAATCATATTATTTTTCTTCACGTTATGTCTCCATAAATCTGTGCTGCTAGATTGCACCTTGTCCGCTAGAGGCAGGATCGATAGTAGACTTCCACAGAGCATAGCTTCTTTGGGGAGATTTTTAAATGCATTACATCTGCCACCTGTAAACACTGGGAACAGAATAACTTCCAGCAGTTCTATAAAAATCCTAGTACAAGTCTGAAAATAAATATTCATTTAGAGAAAAATCCTCATATTTAGCACATAGATTACCTAGTGTCTATTACTGGAGTATTTTAAATCATATTAGAAGCAAGCTGGAAACCTCGAAAGCAAATGGTATCTTTTCTTCACGTAGTGAGTAGCAGCCTGGCTGACCTTTATATTCTTTCCATATCTACATTTCTGTGGTTCAAAAATTTAGCCAGCAGTGTACCGCCTAATTCTAACGGCTGGCAGTTTTGAAGAACGCACATTCTGATGTATTGGGACATTTTCAAAACTCAAAGTGACCAAGAAAGCCAAATTTCAAACTGTAGGAAATGTAGTTATGTGTAAATATTACCTTAAAAGGAAGGCGTCTAAGGAAAGAAAATTTGTGTTTACTTTTTTCCCACTGCATTATATCTTATGCACAGTAGGTGCTCAGTAAATGTTTATTGAATTAATGAATAAGCGCTGCAGTTAATTATTGAGATGACATAATATTAAAATGCAAGATAGGGGACCCTTAGCGAGGACACCGTAA